TCTCTCTCTCTCTCTCTCTCTTCCTCAAAATAAATAAATAAACATTGTTTAAAGAGTAAAAAAAAAAAGAATTTATTATGCATATACCCTCACCACTTAGATGCCTGATTATTTCTTGTCATTCTGAGAGAGGAGACAGAGTGAATTGCATTTTTTTTAATTACTAATGAGGTGACCTTCTTTTCATATTTGTTGGTCATTTTTATTCTTTCAGGAGTTGCCTGTTTCATCCTTATTTTTCTCTGGAGAAACTAATTTTTTCATGTTGCTTCTAAGAGTTCTTTGATCTTTGTCATATGTATGACATATATTTCTCCCCCAGTTTGTCTATCCTTTGACTGGTTGGTATATTTTGCTAGTAGAAATGTTTAATTTTTCTCTAGTCCCAACATATGTTCATGATTCTGCCTTTGATAGCATACTAACTTGGGAAGGTCTTCCTTATCTCAGGATTATAAATATATTAACCCATATTTTGCTAATATTTGTGGTTTTGTATTTTACATTTACATTTTTAATCCACATAGCTTAACGGAAGGTTTAACCTATTTTTCCCCAAAATGTTTAACCAGTTGTCCCAATATTTAGTGAATTATAATCATTTTAGTGAATAATAATTATTATGTTTTGATATTGGCAAGGCAAATTCTTTCACCTTTATTCATTTAAAAACATTTCTGGACTATTCTGCATTTTTCTAAAAAATTAAAACTACTCTGCCGAGTGAAAATTTTTATTATAATCGAACTTATTTTAACTGGGAAGAATTGATGCTTCCAATTTTGAATTTTTCCATACGGGAAGAGGAAACATATCTTCCCAAATCAGTAAAACTCAAACTGAATCAGTTTTATGTTTGGCTATGAAGCAAAAATAAACAAATACTAGAACTTAGGGTTTAAACCAGTAGCCAAGGAAGAAGAGCACACTGTGGAAGAGAAGGAAAAACCCATTTCCGAGCATTGGAATGCAGAAAGAACATTCTCCCAGGCGGCTCCCTGGTTGCCTGCTGGGATGGAACCACCTTTAGAATCCATCCCGTCTGGTTGAGCCCAAGTGCATGCCAGTGTCATTTTTGCCATTGCCTTCAGTCTCCAGAAAAAAAAACTAACTTTCCTTTCTCTAGTACTTGACCACCCTTGAGATAAAGGCCGATAAAGACTCACCCTAAGCGTCCCCCACGTTTTCCTGCACTCTTGTTATCTGCCGTGCATTGGTCTGTCAGCATCTCCTCTCCCCTCTTAGAAGTAGGATATTATTATCATTTGAAATAGTGCATAATGTAGACTACAAGTGCAAGTATACAACAAAAACAAGAAAAGATCAAATCCAAATGCAAGTTAATTAGGAAAATGCAAATTGAAATAGTGAGATATCACTTTCCAGTGTTCAAACGAGAAAAAAATTCAAAAGACAGCTAACATTTATTGCTGGCTGAGATGCAAGAAATGGGCATTTCCATACATTGTGCTATAAATGTAAATTGTTATGGCCTTTTTAAAAAAATTTTTTTTTAAACATTCATTTTTGAGAGACAGAGCATGAGTGGGGAAGGGGCAGAGAGAGGGAGACACAGAATCTGAAGCAGGCTCCAGGCTCTGAGCTGTCAGCACAGAGCCCAACGTGGGGCTTGAACTCACGAACTGCGAGATTATGACCTGAGCCGAAGTCGGACACTCAACCAACCGACTGAGCCACCCAGGTGCCCCCTGGCCTTTTTGAATAGCCATGTAACAACATCTATTAAATTAAAAATACATAGTCTTTGAAGCTGATATTTCATCCTTGGAAATGTATTCTATACAAATAAAATCACCCCTACACACACACACACACACACACACACACACCCACAAAGAAATAGTGCATAAAAATAAAAGTGGAAAAAGAAGCTAGGTTATAAAACAACAGGATGTTAGATACATTCTGAAGAAGCTGGGCCCACTCCCCACACCTGCCTTTTGTGTGTGTGTTTGCTTTCTTCTTTTTTGTTTTTTGTTTTTGTCCTTTTTTATTTTTAATTTCCAAGTATTTCTTCACGAGTAAATTGACAGGTAAATTTAAATGTTCATATTCTTTCCACCTTATCATTGTACCAATATAATTTGAGAAATATTAAATTGGAGAAATCTATTCTTTTTTTAAAAAAAAAGTTTAGAGAGAGAGAGGACATGCATGCACACAGGGAAGGGGCAGAGAAAAAGGGAGAGAGAGAGAAAGAGAGAATCCGAAGCAGAGCCCGACACAGGACTCAAACTCCTGAACCATGAGATCATGACCTGGGCCAAGAGTTGGACGCTTAAGCGACTGAGCCACCCAGGTACTCCCAAGAAATCAGTTCTTTTAAGCAGACACTAGTACTTCCAGAATAAAATGTGGCTTCACTTAAAGTTGAGAAAACATTTACTAGGCTCTTCGGAGCAACTAGAAATAAAATGTGGAACTTACTAATGATAGACTACTCGCTAGAGACTGTGTTTCCCTGGTGAGTACTCCTTCTGTTGTCCAGTTGACCTTCTCGGTTCTGACTGTAGGTGAGTTGAAGTATTTGATTCTGTATTTAAGGAAGTACTCTATTCCTGTAAGAAACCTTCTGACTTTGAACCACCAGTTCCTTTTCCAAGATAGTTTAATGTCTTTGTGCCCATGTTTCATCATCTGTAAAATGAGCATAATAACATCCTAATGCTTACCTCACAGAGTCACATATATAACACAGGAAATGCTCTCTGTTGTTTTTGTGGGCAGTGACACCATCATCATCATCATCATCATCAGATGTCGTCATAGCTGTCTGGTTTACTTTTGAAAACATACACTAGTTCACCAACTAAAAGACTGCATCCTTTTTTTAATAGCACCATGTTGGTTAAAGTAACATTGGTTAAGCTAATGTGAGAAAACTTCTCACACTCTGTGTGAGGAAGATGTTTGTATATTTTTTTTGCTCTCTGGAATGAGTTGCCAATTTTACATGTAGGTTTTATGTACATTTTTTTGTAATTTGTTGCTTGAATTATAGTCTCCACATGAGTCACAGTGCTTCTGTAATTGAAGTTTAGAATATGCTAAGTGGCTGACATTGGCTTTTGTTGCTTCATTGTAGAAATGGGCAGGAGCGACCTTGAACATGGAAGGCCCGTCTCTTAGCACACATCCTGGTGACCGCGTCATGGACAGAGCATTGACTTCAATTAAAGGACTTTTTTTTTTTTTTTTTGACTTCAGCACATAGTTTGTATATTTGAAAATAATGTACATTCTTTTACCTTTCAGGTTCTGATTTGATACACAAAGGGCTAAGATATTTTATTCTTAAAGAGATGTTTTGATTAGTCTTAATATATTTATCTACTAAAATATATCATTTATGATAAACAGTATGTTGTTTTGGACTATTACAGAGGAGACCACTAGGAAGGCCCTCTAAAGGGGGTGGCAGGGGGAGGTTTTTCTGAATACTACTAGACTAGCTACCACGGTACTGTACAAATGGGATTTTGTTTCTCAAGGATGGCTTTAGACTGAGCAACTGAATTTAGACTAGTGGAAGTGGAATTGTATAATTCACTTCAGTTATTGATCACGAGTTTTCCTTGGAGGAAAGGCTTTTCTAGAGCATTAAACTTATAAATGAGATCTGAGAAATCTACAGCTTTCTCAAACCTCCATGTTATTATATAGACTTTGAAACCTACGAACACCTTTTCATTGTTCTCTCTTTGGAATTATAGGAAAAGCGTTAGGTGACTTTAGGATTTGCATTTTCCCTTTTTAATCCCTAATTGCTTGTGATACCTTAAAGGAGAGGGAAATTTGTCCATTTTTTTCTACAAATGAAAAGCTAAGATCCTTCATCACACATGAGCAGTAAGTTCTTCATTGCCTTAAGGAAATCAAGCAGGCAGAGTTTTTTGTAAATGATGACTGTATTAGTTCCAACTACAATTTAATCTTTACAATTAAAAGGATGGAGAACTTTGTTTCTGTTACAAAGTAAGCAGTTTACTTGATTGATTTAAAGATCATGATCTCGTGTAATCATCTATCCTTTTTATTCTTGGCTGTTCTCACTTGTAGGTTGAAAGCGGCAGGTGAATGTAAAGCTTTTGGAGACTGCACTCTTAAATTTTATAAAATTATTAAGTAAAAACGCACACTTTCTGCTCTCCTCTCCCTTCTTGGAGGTGGAAGTTGAGGAGGGTGAGGGAGAGTTATTTTTTTAAAACTTGAAACTGTTGTCCTTTGTTGCTTCTAAGCTAGTTGTGTGTATCTTGTGTGAGTAAAAATAAAGGTCTGTTTGGAGTTTTAAAAAATGTAAGGAATTCATTCTTAACAGCTGCATCTAAGTTTTGTATGGCTCGGTTTTCTTTTTTTTCCTTCAAACTCTTTGTCGCCCTTGGATTTTAGCCACTCATAGTGAAACATTTGGTGAGTAAACAGTTTTGCTGGTGTAAATTCTGTGGCCAGATTCAACTTGAGGAGCTACTGAAGTAGAAAAGTTGACTGACTTTGAGCTCTCATTGACAGCCTCAAAGTAGGTTTCCTTAATAGCCATTATCTTTGTGGTTCATTGCAAATAGGAAAGTATGTCCTTGATTCTGTACCAAGTAGGTTTTTTGCTGTTTGTATTTTAAGATACATACTTGGGAGACATGCTTTAATTAATAATTCTTTCCAGTATCCAATGAAGCAGACTTTTAAAAAGAATATCATGACAGATCAAGCTAAATTGTTTGATAATTACAGAAGTATGATTTCTTCATTAGCAGCTATCAGATACAGCTTTCCATAATTCAAACGTTTGAACACTAAACTGCAAATTTAAGAGATGGGAAGAACTGTAGTGGTCTGGTCTCATCTGCAGAAACATGTCTTTAAAAATAATTTTTTTGTTTATTTTTGAGAGAGGCAGAGCATGAATGGGGGAGGGGCAGAGAGAGGGAGACACAGAATCCGAAGCAGGTTCAAGGCTCTGAGCTATGAGCAGCTCAAACCCACAGAGCAGTGAGATTCTGACCTGAGCCAAAGTCGCTTAACCGACTGAGCCACTCAGGCACCCCTGGAAACATGTCTTTAATAGCAGAGAAAGGAATTACCAAGAAAAAATAGAGAACTGCAACACTTTGAAAGCTTCCTTTGATAGGCTTTTTTTTTAGATATAAATATGATAGAAAAGGGTCAAATATTAGCAGAATGTTTGCTGAGACATGAAATTGATAAAATGCTACTCAGAATATGGGAATGTAATGAAGAAAGGGTAAACCAGAGAGATTTGGTTTAAGGTTAGTCATATTTATGGCAGTAATCATGTTCCCACTAACAATTGTCATAAAAGCCATTTGTTCACAATTACTGTAGAAACAGTTTTTTTTTTTTTTTTAACTTTGGAAGTCCCAGGCAGCATGTGAAAGAAGCAGTTTGACCATGAACGTGAAGCACTGTTGTCAGCCGCCTGCCCAGGTGCTACTTCTGGGTTTCCCGCTAGAACACCACAAAGGGCAGGAGGAGATGTGCAAAAACAGGGCACCTTGGACAGGTAAACTTCCTCACATGCTGAAGTCTGGGGGATCTTGAATATAAAAAGCCTCTCCTGAGAGCTTGTCTCCTGCAGTCACTGAGGAGTGATGACAATAAAAGGCCGAATTGCAGTGTGCCCATCAGCAGTTTGCTCTCTGTGGGGCACACGATGACAAAATCTCCAGAAGCGAATCACTGGTCTGACCTCAGTAACCTCAGGATTGAAGCTTTGCACTTGGGCAGGCTTTCTCAGAGGGGTCTGCTCTTCCCAAAGAGAGCTGATATTTTTAGAAGAAAAAATAATCAGTGAATTGAAGGCATTGGATCTTAAATTGAGTAGTAAATACCTGTCTACATACTTTGCAGTCTACTTGCTGCATCAGGGACTGCTAGAATCAGAAACAGAAATAGGCCTTCAAGAACAGGTGTGTTCCCACTGGGATGAAATACCCAGTGTAACCAAATTCCCCAAGAGGATAGCTTAATTGGCAAGTTTCTTCTTTTGAGCACATTAAAGTTTATTTGCTCAGTGAAGGCTGAGCTTAAATCAGTATGTGTATGTTATTAACGAGAACCTGAGGTAATTACATGTTTGGTCAAAAGCAGTCTCTTTGAGCTCAGCGTAACCCAATTTGTGATTTACAAAGCACAGGATGCTGGCCTGAACCAAAGTGAGTCTTATATATAACATACGCTGTGCTTCTGTGATGCAACAACCAATTAGAAAAGCCACCTACGCCTTTCCCAGTTAATTTCGCTTTTGAAGTTTTAAAAACATTTCATTTTAAAAGATACTAACGTAATTCTTATAAAAGTGAAATTTCTACAGTGTAATCAACCATTTAGCTGGATTTGCCTTTATTCTAACAGCAAAGTAGAAGTTGTAAATTGAAAAAGGTATATGGATCACATTAATTCAGTCCATTTTTTTGAAGAGGTGTAAGCTTGTATATTATGGGCTAATGAGAAACCTGAGAACACCAGCACTTTCGTGGGGCTTGGCTGCATAGGTATTGGATCCCAGGACTGTGTTTTTGGAAGCATTTTAGGGATGGATTTCCTGATCAGAACAGTAGTGATTGCATAAAAACGACAGACCAGATATAAAGTGAAACCAACAAAATGGTCTTAGTACCTAGGTAGAGTGTGCAAGAATTTTAAAGAATACGTAAAAATATGCGTTAGTTTTCCAGATATCCTTAAAATGCTAAAGTGCTGCCCTTCAAAATATTATTTAAAATAAGCACGTGAGCCATTGCTTTCCATGAGAATCATTACAAGATAAAGTAGTGGTACACACCACTTAAAATTGTGGGAAAGTGTGTACTCTGTAAGAAAGGTGAGTGATAACTGTTTCTTTATAAAGTTGTTTAAATGTATAAACACTGCTAAAAGAATTAAAGTAGTTGTATCTTGGGATCTGATTAATTTTGAAGCATTTTTTCTTTCTACCCTATGGTGTAACTTAGTGCTGTCTTTTTACAGGTGATTTGAAGATACTACAACTAGAAACCGGAACTAGAAAACCCAGAGAATTCAAGATATGTTATTTTTAACATGGCAGTCAATTGAACTACACTTAAAAGTTGATTACAGTTACTGAATCCCAGGACTATAGTTGATTTCAGGTAAACTTTCTTCTACTTTTAAACATGTTTAATGAAGAACCTCTTGCTGGTGTTTAAATTTTTTTAATATTTATTCATTTTTGAGAGAGAGTGAATAGGGGAGAAGCAGAGAGAGGAGGAGAGTCAGAAGCAGGCTCCAGGCTCTGAGCTGTCAGCACAGAGCCCGGCTGGTGTTAAATGTGAACCTGACTCACTTTTGGGGGAGGGGAGGGGGGTAAAATGTTCCCTAAATATAACTACTGTTTTTTGTTAACTATTTAGATTTGGAAATCTTTCCTCTTTCAAGTAAACACCAATAGTGTGATCTTGGAATTTTTAGCAATAGTCTATTTGCAGAGTCCAGAATTTGTAAATTCACCAACTGAATTTATCTGTAACCCTCACATCAGGATGGGCAGTGCTTTTTGCAAGTCCTTTGTGGACACGTACAGTGCAGTGAAAATTTTGAGGCATGTGACACACTTTTTCCAATTGAGGTTTAGTAAGAGGACACTCTGCCTTCTTGTTTCAGCTCTCAAAGTGTCAACAGTGTATCCTTCTCCACTATGTATTTAGCGCCTTTTCCAAAATTTTGTACCTTGGTGATTTTACAGTTTAAAATGGCCCCCAAGCATAGTGTTGTCTCCTGTTCTCAGCACATGAAAGCTGATGTGCCTTATAGAGAAAGTACATGTTAGGTAAGCTTTGTTCAGGCATGAGTTAATAGTGCTGTTGGCCAGTGTCGTTCAACGTTATCAGAGAATCAGTAGGTCCTGGAGCCCTTCCAACAGTCGTCCAAACTTTGCCATTCCCAGAAGTATCTCAATAATACTTTTGGAAGTATTTGGAAGTACTTTTGGAAGTAATTCCCAAACCTAATAAGGTAAAACAGTGATGCCCACTTATAGGTATGGAAATCAAGGCTGTTACTATCATTTTGGATGTCTTAAAGGCATTCCTCTAGTACACTGGCTTGGGTTCTTAATTCCTTAAGCAAATACATTTATAAATACCTTTCATAAGATTACATAAGACATAAAATTTCTTATAAATCTAGGAGTACTGTTTTTTTGCTGGTATTATAAGGTTGAAACTCCTCTTTAAACCAGTAGGCTCGGTTTCCTTTAACTTTCGCTGAGGGTTAAATTGGAAGGTGAATTCCTGTTGAATAGATTACTTCCCTATAAAGAGCAGGCTTTGGAAGTACCTCAGTATATGAGGAATTTTTCATGCTTTCTTCAAGTAAAAAAAACACATAATACAGTTCATAAAAAACTTTAATGTAAGGCACTGTTGTCCAAAGTTAAATGAGGGATAACAGCCCACATGACGCCAGCCACCTTGTCCTCCTACGTCTCAAACAGGTCATCTGCCCTAGCACAGGCAGCAGGGTACAGACTGTACATGACAGTTCCTCAGTGGTGATGTTATCTCCCAAAACATGGACTAATATTTTTCCTTTAAACAAGAAAATAACTATCTTAGACTAAGAACTGAAGAACTAATGAACAGCTCAAGAGGAAAAAAACAGAACACTACACCAGCTATTATAGTCTCAAAAAAGGTTTCTAAGAGTTTCCATGTTTCTAAGAGGTCCAAGGAATGCATGTATTCTGTTGTCTATTAAGTCCCCATGACAAGAAAGGATAAAGCTAGAAGCATTTCCTTGGTTCAAACTGTGCTTCAGGAGGCGGTAAGGGCTATACGCATAAATGGGTTCAAGGACCAAACTTCTGTTTGCCCCTTGATTCAAAAACACTTAACTGATTTCACCTCAAGGGCAGTATGACAAATTCTTAAGAATGTCTTCATTTACTCTCATTAAATACTAAAATATCAGAACCTTAAGAAAACTGGGATTCTTGATTTATCAGTAGCCTGTAAGTTGTGTTTTAAACAAAAACAGGCACCTTGGTTCTACAGTGCTAAAGACCGCATCTACTTTTTTGCAGGAACTTTTTTTGGATAACTGCTAATCCTAATCATCAGCAAAGACACCAAAATAGACACATTTTTCTAAGTTCTTACCAAAAATCCATTTCAAGGAAAAAGTCATCCAGGAAGGGAAAATTTTGCTTTAAGTAGATAAAGTAGTGTTTATATGCATTAGGCCAAGCAATCCACTCAGGGTTCTAACAGTTTAAAAATTAAGTCACAATATAGCTGAATAATGAATATGGTGGTTCTGATGAGGTATTATTTTGACATTTTGGTCTCGGAAGGTGTTTCTCCAGTGTCCAAGGTCTTCAACAATCGGAAAAGGCCAGCGGCTTCTCGTATCCTGCTGAATTCAATACAGAATGCCTGCACTTCTATAAACAAGTCCTGCACGTTAATTATTTTGTTACGGATCAAGGACTGGAGAAAGACACACACAAGACGCACCAAACGATTCTGAAAAAGAGAAAGCAAATTTAGTGAACCCATTTTCTTGGCAGGTATTTATAAAATTTACAAAAATCTCTGCTACTTACCTGCATATATTTATCCTTAATTTGTTCACAAGTAGAGATGCAATTTGATATGTAAAGGTGAATAAATTCAGGAGGTAGATCAACAGCTGTAGTGAGTCTGTTTCAGAAAGTTAAAAAGTTAGGGCTGTTACAAAACACTGTTACCCATAAAATATAAAATTCCTCTTTGGTCATTTAGTCAAAATTTCTGATAGATGATCAGTTACCTACTTTTAAACATACTTATGCAAATAAGCCTGAGTCACCCACTTTGTTAGTCAATGGCACTTCATTTTTTAAGTCTATACTTAGCATTACATTACACATGAAAATTACTCATAATTTTGAACACCACATTTCTGTGTTCTTGGTTGAATCCTAATTTGTAGTTAATGGTCTTCAAGCTCTAGTAAGTAACGTTAACTAAACCTCAATTACATGTAAGTGCTGTGCAAGGTGGTAGGTCCAAGAAGGTATAATTTTTAATAAGTATAATTAAGGGCTAAAATGAGGGGTTTGCAAAAAGCAGTGTAAATGAAAAAACAGGAAAAGCCTTAAAAGGTCAAGTGGCCTAAAACTGAAACCTTGAAGTATTTCTTATAACCTAGCAAGTGATGTGAGAAAAAGCTGGGATCTGGGATTAGTGTGGCACATTCAGGAACATGGTGGTAGAGATCCGGATGGAATGTGACAGAAGGCATTGGTGGCACATTAGTGTCTCCACAAGGAAAGCTGGTATTTTCTGAAAGATTCTGTGGAATATTTTAAGGAAAACAAAAAGATGGGAATTCCATGTTCAAATAAAGGTATGCTATGCTAGCTATACAGTATGAATGTCCAAAAGGAATTCTAAACTTCTTTGACTACAGAACCTTTCCCCATAAAGCACCAAGGAACCAGTGCTCTGAGAAAAGTGCTGTGGTCACTTGAGGTTGGGGGGGGAGAGGGGGAGGAGG